ATTATCCTTGCAGAGTTTTATTCTGCCTTCAGGTAATAACTCAATTACTCCTTTACCTTTTATTTATAAAATTGTATTTCCTTATAAAATCAATTAACTTATAAAGAAATGAATCTTCAGTCTTCAAATTCTTTCAAATCTGATGCAATTGAGTTCTCAAACAGCTATCCCTTTCATAATAACTACATCAATCTTCCTTATGCTGATAAGATGAAAATTACCTATGACCAATTCAAGAAAATGTATTTAAGGGTTGAAGAAAGACAAGATGGGTTGAAAAATTGGTTAAAGGATCAAAAAGAAATGAAATCACTTTTGAATATTGAAGAACTGAAGTTTGAATATAAGAAGATATTCCATGAAATGGGAATCATATGAACAAAAATTATTTGGTAAATAAATCATTACAGTGGATATTTCAAAAATATATCAGGCTCTGATCATCTAGAAATCACATGAAATCACACAATGGTGAGTTCTTTGTAGCTCTCCAGAGTGAAATTGCTTGATTCTATGATATTTACAGAACATAAAATGTTGTGGTTAGCTATTTCATCAAATGAGCATAATTTATTCCAACTTTTTGGAATTTTATGTTACTCAATTCCAAAAAATGAATGTATTATGCTTAGATAAACTTCTTTGTTTAGTTAAGCATGATTAAAATCTCTCAGTACAAAGTTTGTTCCCTGGAATTCAAATGTATTTCTATTCAAGCTTACTGTCAATATAAATCACCAGTAAAAAAACAATGCTCACCAAATGACAGGTTACATTATGTAACATTGATTAAAACTCAGATATAGCTCCAGTTATACTGCAACCCAACTACAATGCCCCCTTTGTGTGCTACAGGGAGAAGAGCTAGATTTGGGCTGGGTAGATAGTGGGTAGCATGCTGATCTTAGTCCAATTTTACCTGACATCAAGTGAGCATTGTTTTTTCCTGGTGAATACAGATAGAGATGTGGTATAATTTTTATGGATAGGATTATCCATTGTCAATTTGTATTGAGAAAATTTCTGCATAGAGTATAGAAAGCCAAAACTGAGTTCATTCTTTCTACTGTGCCTATTTCTATATTGAGGGCCCTTTTGGCTGTGAAAAAATCTGAGATACAAATACTTGGAAAAAGTATCTTCTCACAGGCTGATGTACAGCCAAACCAAGAAAGCTTGCATCTTGGTTGGCAGAAGATTAAAAAAAACTACCAACTGCATTTGGAATCTTTGGAAGAATACAGCACCCTGTATGCCTATTCAAATACAGAGGTTACTTGAGTGTAAATTTTCTATCTTTTTTCTCCATCATTTCCAGTTCATGAGAGTAAGACCATTGGAATCCTGAGGGAAATTTTAGTCTTACCAGCCCATGACCTGCATTCCACCCATGCCCCTGCTACCAGTAGGGATGGCTGGTTGGTACCATCCTGTCCTGTCGGTGCTACCAGAGGGTATTTGACAACCTGTACACCGGCTGTATTATTCCAAAGAGTTTGGCCTGCAGTCAAGATTTTGATTTTATTTTCGAAATATTCTGCCAACCAAGACCGCAAGCTTTCTTGGTTTGGCTGTACATCCCAGAAGAATATAAAACAGCACCTACAAATTACGTGACACAGCACCAGGAGAAAGAATTTATCAGGGAGAAAAATGAAAGAGGCATTCATAAGGCTAATCATTTGAATAGGATGTAAATCTAAACATATAAAATTTTTTGGGAGTCCTGAATTTTTTTATTCATTTTCAAAGAACTTTGGCTTGAAACAGCTCTTCAAAAGTTCCAGAAAGACTCAAAATAAAGTTCTCCAAGCATCAGTCAGGAGTGATAAAGTGTCAAAATGAAAATGGATGAATTCCCGTTGTGGTTTACAAACCTCCCAGAATTCAATTTACACCCCCTAGATCTTAATTTTTGGTATAAAAAATTATTTTTTCACAAGCCTTGTGAAGATAGCTCTCATGTGAGCTGTTTGGAATTATGATTGAGGTGTTAATTTAGGACTGGGGAGGGCTTCAAAATCACTCTAATGGTGACAGGAAGGTCTCCAATAAATTTTTCTGCAATAAATCTAGACTTAGTGATACCCTTCCCTCCTGCTTACTGGTATGCCACTTGTTACTTTGTACCAACTTGAAGGAGGGAATCACAAGCTCAATTGCACTTGTGGCCCCACAGCACTCAGCAGTTTTATGGGTTATTTTTAACAGTACATCTCACACATTGTTCTGTGATCAATTTTTTCTCTTGTCGTATTTTCATGACTGTCAAGTAACTCAGTAGAAGATGCTTGTAAAAATGATTCCAGAGGGATGGAATCAAAGAAAACTTGAAGCTAGCCAGAATTGAAAGAACCCACAATTTCAAGTAGGAGACAGGGAGAATCTCCTGAAAATTCCTCCTTGTTTTGCGCTTGAATTTGTAGTAAAAAAATGAAGTGGGCACTAAAATGTAACAAAAACAAATTTCAATTTTTCTAATTCTTGCAAGTGGGAGGGGCAACTTTTTTGGAGGGTCCAATGTAAGTTCATTTAGTCAAAAGCTACTTAGCTTAAGATAACAAATCATTTTGTTCCCTATCATAATTTACCGTGATATATAATTTGTCACATGATACTAGAATTAAATTATTACACTGGGGGATAAGGACAACAGAGAGGATTTGATTTTGGCTCACCAGGTTTTAAACTTGATTGATTGGGAGGTATTTGAGCTCATTCATCAGTTCCTTTTCCTGGTTTAGCAGGAGGAAAAACTCTGACCAGAACTGGACTGCTACACTATTAGTGGGTTTCAACTACACTGTACTGTGCCAAAAGTGGCTATGGTCCACCAAAGGCCACCAAAAATCTTCTAATCAGTGCTTTAGCACAGTGTTTCAGGGGTAGTTTAGGGGCCTGGATGTGTAGGGTTGGTGCAGACAGGGATGAAATTTGTTTTGCTATACTGCATTTAGTGGAATTCTGCTAATACTGCATTTAGTGGAATTCTGCTACACTTTGCCACACTAATGCTACTTTTATTATTACAAATGGCCCAGAAATTCTTGAGGCTAAATTGATGGGTGGTTGGATTCCTCTTATCAAAATAAAAAAAAAGTATTGTTCAACTTAAGGCAGGGTGGGAAAATCTTAAAAATTCCCAAATTTTTTCTTGGCCAATATTTTTTTTCTCTAAATGCTTTAGAGTCCTTGAAAAAAAGGGGGACTCCCAATTTAAATTCAACAAAATAATCAAAGCCCATTTGAGTGTATTTATCAAGAACCTTTGGAAAATCTTAATCTTTGGAAAATCTTGGAAGAAGGAATTTGTTGTTCTAATTTTTCCGCAAACCCCAAAACTGTCCATCTTGTCAAAATGCTAACATTATGTTGATATGAACCTTAAAATTGGCTCCTCATGTTATAAATTATTTTCAATTGTGAACTCCCCCCCCCCCCACCCCTAATATCAATCAGGGTGGAGTTTTTTTTTATTCCCTTATCTGAAATTGGTTTTGTGCTTTTTTTAAGTTCACCGGATGGGGATATGGTCATATGATAATTTTGTAGGGGCCAAGGTGCAGATCTTTTGGTTTTGAGGAAAGAAAACATCTGTGTTGCAACAAATTTTGAAATTTTGAAATGTGTGAATTATTTATACAAGATTGCATACTGGTGCTGAAACATCAAAGTGGTGATCCCCACATGCTGTTTTTTTTTTTTTTTTTTTTGCAGTACACTGTTGATCATTTCATTCAATACTAAATTCAAATTTTATTCTGTGCCCACTGTAATCTGGCTAGTTGAAGTTTTGAAAAAATCCACTGCTTGTCACTTGGTATCAAATTTCTCGCAAGGATTAATCAATTCTCTCAACTGTTACTTGTCTCAAACATGGCTCCATATTTTCTCATTGCATTAATACATGCAAGACTATCTTGCACAGCTTTCAAGCTATGTAGTTAGTACAGACCAGTGAATTATGTTTTGGGGAAATGCCTTTTACATTTGCAAATGGAATAAACCTGCATTCCCCTGCTATTTGCTGCATTTTGGACCTTTCCCTTTGGCCAAAGAACACCAAGAAATATTTTTTAACAATTGAACTCACATAGCCTCAGGACTGCAAAGCTCAATATAATAAGCACTAAGAATCTGGACAAATGTTTTTCTCTTCTTTTGGCATTCATATTCATATTCTTATACCAGCCTCAGAAAAGCCTGATAGACCCATTGTCATGTGGTTAAGCTTTAGATTTATATGGTCTTCTTAAAACTCTATATTCAGCCTCTGTATAGTGTTAGGAGGTTGAATTGCATCATTTCAGAGGGTTTTCCTCAACTCCAAGGCTCAAGGCCACTAAATCACAAAACCTTCCTTGTTTTTGGTTCTGACATTTTGGACATAAATAGATCCACGGGTTAAGGCCTGCGCAACTTAGTAAACACTTACATGAACTGAGACAATTGAGAAAAAACTACATAGCCCTTCACAACGACCAATCCACTCTTGAGTCTTGGTTCCTGTGATGGGGTTGGGATAGAAGTGGACTAAGTTGCACATCATGCACAATTTGTTGTTATTTGATTGTGTGATCTTTTGGCAACCAAGCGGTTGCATTTAGGCAGGAAAATTAGAAAATCTCGGGACATCAGACGGCGTCGGCCTCAGAGTTTAACTTGCACCACCGGTATTTGCTTCGGACAAACTGGTCCGACCAGCTACCGCGCAGGCTGGGATCGACGAGTTCTGCGGCCTGGGTGCGAGACCGTTTGACAAATCTATTTGACTATGTATCACTCTGACAACTGCATAAGTCCGAGCAGGTCCGACCAGTACAAATTTGTCTGGCAGTGTTAACCGGTGTTATTTGATGGCAGTGTTTACATACATACTCATTTAAATATTAATAAATACGTGTTGCAGTGCATCACATCGCCAATCATCCGATTCATGGTCGTGTCGATCACGGTTTTTTCTCCCACAGTTATTGAGTAGGTGGAACTCCCACAGCTCCTGTAAATAGATTAGGTCTCGGGAATATCTTGAGGTTATATATGCTTCCTTTAGAATGAAATAATCCCTTCACCGATCGTCGCTGCTTCACTGATCATCACTGCAAACCAAACTGTAAAGGATTTCTCTAGAGTTGACATAAACCTTTATCATTGCTCATCATGGTAATTAGTTTTGTTGTCATTTTTCTTCGTAGATTGGGAGATGGAAGAGAGAGGATGAATCTTCCTCATTTGCGCAACGAGTCTGACTGAAATTTCTTGTTGACTTCCAGCATTTAAAGCCTTTAGACACGATCTTGAATTCGAAAACTTGTGTGCAAAAGGGGCTCTGTCCTGTGAGACATGAGCGCGATGAACAACCCCGAAATATTTACTACGAGATCCATGGCGATCTGAAGGCATCGCAAAAGTTGGTCCTGAGTGCGTCATTTGAATTTCTCCGGAAAGATTTTCTCATCCTAGCTTGGAGCTCATAAAGATATTATTCTCCGGTTTGTCGGTATCCAACTCTCCGTTTGAAAAGTCATGGGTAAGGCATTTTTATCAGTCAGATTGCAAAATATTCCCCGCGCCTGACCTCTTGCGGCATATTGCATAGGTCTCATGTTCACCTGCGCGGCGTGGCTTGAGCAAGTAGATCACTTCAGCCGAAAAGCCGACCACGCGGTTTTAGTATTTGATAACCGCGGAGTAGGAAACAGCGAGTTGAGTGTTTGAGTGTTTCCAACTTATCCTGCGAGATCAGCGGGGGCTTTGGGTCTAACGACAAAAGCATCGGATTGGTGTATATACGTCCTATCAGATGCGGGGCGATGAAGCCTTATCGAACTTCAGGCATGGCCAAGGATGTCAAAGATCTCTTGGATTATGTGCAATGGGATCAAGATCGCTCACTACACATCTTCGGGGTCTCCTTGGGAGGAATGCTGTCACAAAACTTGGTAAGCCTCGCTTAGTATTTCGTCACTTTCCATGTTCTTTCCATTCAAGTGATGACGGCCTCGGGAAAATCTGGACTTCGGAAAAAAGTACTTAATGCTTGGCCTTCTGATCACCTCTGTTATCTAGTGTCTTTTAATCCCCAAACGGATTAAATCAATCAGCTTTGTCAGCACAAGATGTGGAAGTGTTTTAGATATCCCATCGGTTAGTGCGATTTCTTGATAACTATAGACACTAATCGCAGCATCAAGACTGAAATGATTTGATTCTTTGATCCAATCGATAGCCCCGAGCCATGGCCACGCTCCTAAACATCGTGTGTAGAAAAGGGCCGTACAAAAAAAGGGTTGACCTTTTACTTGAACTTTTATATCCGGCAAGCTATTTAAATCAGTCAACAGCGAATGGTCAAACTAGGAGGGACGATCTTCTCAAATATTATCAAACCTGGTTTGATAGACCTCAGCAGCTGCCACTATCGGGTATTTTTGGTCAATTTTGTGCTACGGCCTTTCACCACTGCTCCGATTCCAGCCTGAAGAGGATAGCAGCGGAGCTCTATCCTGCGAAAATCGCGGTGATATCGGGAAATCAAGATGAGCTTATAGATCCCCTGCGATCATTCGAACTTCGAGGAAAATTACCAGGTTCCGAGTTAATACTATTTGAAAACGCCGGTCACATTCTGAACTCTCAAGCTCCCCAACAATTCAATCTCTTAATGGAAAGGATCATCGCCGAAGGTAACGAGGCCTTTCAAACAAAAAGCTAGCGGTCTCACTTTTTCATGAACGATGATTGCATGTCTGAGATGAACTGTCTTATCTCTTAAACCCACCTTTTCTGAAGGGCCGGAGGGACCCTTGTACTCATTGTGTTTCAAGATATGTATAAGCATCATGTTACAACTTTTGTGTTATTTTTGTTGTTATTTTATTTGTTCATTTCAGAAATCTCTTGAAGGGCATGCACCACTATTGTAATTTCGATTTTCCAAGCCAGACAATTGTTTGCAAGGGGGTCTTTTTCCTTATCCAAAAACTTGGTGTTACTTTCCAATACAAACCTGTTGTACATCTTCTATGAAGACCAAACTCCAACTTGTCCAACATGACCAGAGTCCCATTTGAAAAAGGATTCAGGTTCCTGCGCTGTATTCCGGACCAACTGTCTCACATTTTCTCTCTAATATGATCACATGAAATTGTTGTCTTGAAAAAGCGCACATACTACTTCAGCATCAAGAAAGTAAAAACACAGACAGACAAGCCCAAATCTATTTATTGTTGAACTGAATTTGTGGCCCCTAGTACTAGTGAGTGAAGGACCTATTATGGATGGCTCTTGGTGGCAGGCCATTGGGTTATTGCAACATTGCCACTGTGGTATGACAGAGAGGAACTTCACTCAGGAAGGGGGATGGACAACCACAAATTTGAGCTGAAGTACTTTTTTTTGGGTGATCCATTAGGGACTCGTGGAGGCGAGGGGAAGAGCTGTGGATTGCTTCGCCGGAAGGGTGGCTGCGCACCCGGCGGAGCAAACCCGCCGCCGCTTTGGTTGACACATATTAATGCTTCTCTTACGTGCTCACAGGTTCAGCGCTCCGTAGGAGAGGGAGCACCTAGGGAAGCCCGGAGACCAGGGAGTGGTCTCCCAAGCTTCCCGTGTGTGGGTCTGGGGGGAGAGGGTCTCGAGTGCTGAGACCCGGAGCCTGGCAATGCTCACCGGAATCTCTGTGCAACCCTGCTGCTGTCCCGCCGGAGAGGCGGGTCAGGAGCAGGGATACACGAGAGAGTTCCGGGACTAGCCGAGGCACTCCCCGGAGCAGAAAGACACCCCCCAAAAGGGGGTGGGGCAAACGCTAGACCCAAAACTCAAATCAGCTTGGGAATTTTGAGCCAGCGTTGCCTGTGGCTGCTAAGCCAGACCTTGAATGGGTAAGATAAGAGCATCGGAGGGTTTGATTACGCTAAGGGAGAGGGCTGAAACATCCAACATCTTTCCAACTCTGCTAGGAGAGCATTCGTCTTCTCCATTTCTTCATCGGTGAAGTCCCGGAGGTATAGCTTGTAGGTGTCGGAGGCCCAACGCCCTCGGATACAAATCTCGCTAATTGGTACGCCTAGGGCCACCTGAATCGATGCTCCGCCGACTCTGAAGGAGTGCCCGGACACGCCTTCGAAACCGCAAGCTCCCCAGATCTTAGACAAGGCTCGAGTTGCTTGAGGGCGAGTGATGTGAGCTCGTTCTCCTTGGGGGTCGGTGTACCCGAACAAGGAGGTTTCCATCCCTTTCGCTTCGGCTAATCTTCTCTTGACGGCGAGGACCGGACAGAGCATATGGGGGAGTTCTTTGAGGTAAATAACTTGTGTCTGGCCTGGGTCTGCTGTCTTCGCGCCACGAATGGTGAGTTTCGCAAGGTTCTCTCTTTCCTTGTAGACGAGCTCTACGTCGGTGGTTAGTAGGGACGCCGTTCTCCTCAGCGGGCCGCTGCTCTCGTTGTAGGTGAGCTTGGCCAAGCGAGCCATTCCCCAGAACGCGACCACACTCAGGTCCAGAAGCGCCTTCTGGAAAGAGTCCCCGTCAATCAGTACCTCGGTCAGCTTGACTAGGTTCTCGATGGTGACAGGCTTCTTTCTGGGATTCTTTGCCGTTTCGGCGTCGATGTAGGCCGAGGACTTTAGGAAGGTTGCGACCTTAGTCTTGGAATCGACAGGGTATGTGGCGTTGTGGTACACATGCCACATCTGTAAGCCCGCGAGGTACTTGCTGAGGGTGTTTGCTGAGATTTCGTGCGCTGTCGAGGACTCGGCTGTTCTTCCCGCCCAGCAACAAAAGTCGAAGATATCCTGCGCCGTGAGTGGTAATCTGTAGGTGGTTTTGCCCGCTTCTCGCGCAAAGTTCTGATATTTCTTAATAGCGGCATTGTAGCTGAGTAGAGTGTTCCACCTGTAGCCCAGGAGGTAGTGTCTTTCTTGGGCGGTGGGTTCTTGGGGCTCAGAGCCGTTGCACGTGATAGCAGTGATTCTTTTCAGGTCTAACATCCGGGGAGATCGGTGGTGAGGAGAAGGAATAGGTGGTGGAGTAGAGAGCCAGATACAAATAGGAGGGGGGGGGAAACTATTTAACACACGGACTGAAAAATTCTACGTTCTAGATCAAAAGGAATGGTGATGGGAATCTGGAGTTGTGGATCTCTCCCTTTCCTATCGCCCCCTGGATAGAGCATCTGCGACGTTGTCGCCAGATGAAACTCTCCCTTGAAACTATATCCAACTCCCATCTCCACCAGCAGCCTCTGTATGAGCTTCCACTCTTCGTTCACCGTGTGGTGTTTCGATTTGCGTTTCAGAATCACACTCTCTGTTGTCGTGTTGTCCGTCCACACAATTACTGTCTTCCCTCGTTTTACGTTGAGTTGGGTGAGGGCTATGAGGCCGAGTCGTATCGCCACTGTTTCAAGCCATGCTATGTCTCTTCTCGGATCTGGGCCCCGGTCCCAGTCTTTGGTGAGCTGAAATTGGGCCCAGCGGCGACCTATGGTTATCCTGATACCGTAGCTCGTTGACGCGTCACCCATCCACCCAATTTCTATTGGATTTGGGTCTCGTATCATTCTAGTTTCTTTGTAAGTTAGGAGGGTGCTTAGCCACTCTTCTAGGTCGACCCTTGCGCCTTCCGGAAGAGGTAGTTCTTTATGCCGATGTACCCAGGCGTTCATCATCCGATATAAGCTGTTCAGGTAACATTGGAGTTGCGGGAGGATATACGAGACGTGGTTCAGTCTTCCCGCCATTACCTCAACTTGTTTGAAGGAGAACTCGGCGTCAGTCTTGAGGAACTCCTTTATCTGCTGTACTCGCTGGTACTTCTTGTCGTCGGGAAGGCGTACCGTTTTCCTAGTAGCGTTCCAGATGAATCCTATGTATTTCTGTTCTTCTTTGAATGGTGAGTATTTTGTTGAGTTGGTCTTTACTCCTAGTTTTTCCGATCTGGCCACAATGTGGTCCATCTCAACCTTTGATTCTGGGCGTTTAACAAATAGGTTATCGTCCACCCAACGAAAAACAGTAACTAAGTCAAATTCATGGAGCATTAGCTGCTTCCAGGCATCCGCGGGCCTGCCGAATGAGCCGCATCCTGCTACGCCGCCGAATGCAATCCGCGTGTCAATGAGTATCCCGCCGTTGAAATCTCGGACCATCAGGTACGCCCACTGAGATTTTGCTGTCGGGATTTGGAGGTAGGCCTTTTCCCAGTCGAACAGGGCTAGGAGGAGGGGTCCGGTCTGGTTCCGAAAGAATCTTGATACGCTTTCAAAGTCATCCCAGGTGGTGGCATAGTCCAGTTTGTCTACGAACGAGTTCACCGAGGGGGTTAGTGGGTCGTCCCTTGGGAATGACAGATCATTGATTGGCCTAATGGAGCCGTCTCCGTTTATTGCCGCACCCAGGGGGTTCGACCGGAAAAAGCTGAATTTCTTCATGAGTTGTTGGTGTGTGTACGGGCCGAACATCCTACCCGCTTCTACTTCTTTCTTCATGGACTGCTCGATCTTTTCTCGGGCTAGTAACGCGGGGTAAAGTAAGGAATTGCCGGGCCCAGGTTGTGGTTCGGTATTCCCTGGTCAAAGCCTTCTTTGAAACCTCGGATCACATCCGCAAATTCTTCTGACAAGTTCGCCCTCTTGAGCGATTGCTCCCATTCCTCTACATCCATCTCACATTTAATATTCTCTGGCCACATCGGGGTACTCTACCTGGCTGCTTCCCAACAATGGGAGTCCCTGGTTGGTCTTAGCTGGGGTAGGGGCTCTGTTTGGGTTTTTACTTCCCTGTGGATTAAATCGCACGCTAGTCAGGACGTGGGCTCTTAGGGTGGTTTGGAGTATCTTAAATTTCTTCCATGTATGTTCTATGTACAAGATTAGGAAATAGATTGGCGAGTGGCTTGTAGGTTTGGGTAAGGGGAGAACTGAGGGGAACGGTGGAGGGATAAAGGAGATAAAGGAGAATGAGACAGGGGGAAAAGAGAAATCGGATGGAGTAACCTACTCATTACCACGTTGCCTGTTCAACGAACCATGGTTGGGATTGTAATTCCTGCCTTTATATCCAGAGCTCCTAGGGGGTCTGTTCTGGTCTGGTTTTGGGGGTAAAGAATTTACGGGTGTCTGATTCGACTGGAAGGAACCTGTGCTGGGGGTTTTGTTGTTGTTGTTGTTGTTCGTTGTTGTCGTGGTCGGCGTTTTTGCTGACTTTTGGCCTGTGTGGGGGTCCCACCCGTATCTTGCTCCACCGATCGCGTAAGGGTTGTCTTTTACGCCTAGCTCGTTGAAATTTCTGGACTCGGAGTGGGCGTCGTCTGCCGTTTCGGTTTTGAAAACGGAAATGTTTGAGAAGGTTTCCTCGCCGTCTTTCTCAACTCTGAAGGCAAAGGCATTGTTTCGAATCCTTATGTCGTAGCGTAAGGCTACCATGAAGCCGTGCTTCTTCTGTAGTCGGTCGCAGTTGGCCTTGTGTAAGAGTATCCACTCAGCGAGGACTGGGTAGATGTATCTGTCCCGAATCGTCTCGTGGAAACAACGGTGTGGTATACCTTAAGGGTAGCCATCTGGCCCATTTAAAAATTTTACAGTTTTTTCTTTTATTACAAATTACATACTTTTTACACCTTTTTTCTCATATATACACTCACAAATCAACCATTATGGCTCAAGAAAAGGATTCTATGGTCGATTTCACCCTTGGTCACCACTGGAGGCGTCACTGGAACTCAACTGGATTGGAAGCTACACCCTCTGGACCATCACTACACTCAATTACACAACTCACCACCATGGCAACACTCAACAACACCAACAAATTACATAACTCACACTATACATATGTACATTGCAGGACAACTACATACACTCTCACACCATTATAGTACATGTATACACACCACTCCACTATCTTCTGACAGTTGACACATGCAGTGTTGGTCTGGTACCACTCTGGATTTACAAGTGACATCAAAAGAGGTTGTCATGTCATTTGTTGATCTTCCTTGAAGCTGTCTAGCGGATCTCACACCACTCATGTAATACTCATCA